GATGTAATGAATTGTTAGACATAAAGGAAATGTATTGTACAGTGTAGATACAGCTAGTATAATCACATTTTTTGATTATACATGAATGTATAAAACACTGCAGTATACATTCATAGGGACATTGAAAGCGACTTGGTATGAATGATTGATGAGTTCTCAACAGTGCTTCAATTCGACAGTTATGCTATCAAATCTGTCTGGAGTCTATAATCGCATCTGTTTAACTAAAATGGTCCATGCTGCAAGAAAAAAAAAAGTCATTAAAAAATTTTACGTGATTAATGTCAGCTGAGTGTATTCCTTCCGGGTCATTCTTCAACTTGGGGCATTTAGAGGAATTATAGTTCACGGAACTCTTTTCATTGCTGTGTATGAATACAGTTGAAACAGGACTTGGTTTCAACAGAGATAGATTAAAACTTTATTCTAAACATGTTTTAAACCCAGAATAAGTACATTTCTAAAAGATTTTTAAATATATGTTGTTATCATGCAAGAGAAAATATGCCGTGGCAATAAAAGACTTATATACCACACATTATATATGAGGAAAGAATGTGGACAGAATAGAAAATATAAACTATATATAAATTGCTGCTAGACTTTTATTGTAATATTATGCCATCACATTTACCCCCTAACCCCATGTCATTTAACTATGTAATTTATATATGTGTGGTTGAATAAATTAATGCAATGAAAACAAGAGTATGCACAGAATTATAAACACATGAGATACACAAGAGATTTTAAAATGCACTTAAATCTGTTACAAGCTGTTATACCCTTACATTAGTTTTAAGTGTAGCACTTGGTTACTCAATAGACAATGAATACATAGTCCTATTACAAACAAATGTAATATAAAAATAAACTTTTAGCAGGTATATGAACTACCATTAACCATAAGGAGGCGTACTACTTTCGGAGAAGTACAGTAAGTTTATACTTAACTTTATATTGCAGTATACTTACTGGTAGGTAATGTTAAATAGCTGATAGATTCTGCCCAATGGTATCATTGGATCATTCATGATAGTTAATAATAGTTAACATGATATTTTATGCTGGTAGGTCAGATAAAATTTCTATTGGCCTACCTTGTGGTAAATTTTGTATTTTCTACACCAATAATTTTAGATTCTGTGTTTCTGACTGTATGTTTTAAGACTACCTGAAGATACCAGGCCATGACCATACTACCCGTCTTCATTTTTACAGGACTCACATGAAAGAAGGCCTACCTTAAATAGGCCTACTCATATTGAGTCAATTATAAAAAAATAATGAATATCATAATGGTTTTAAATAAACCTCCTTTAAAACATTGACATTTTATCAATTGCTCTATTTTTATATATTTATTTCAAATATGCATTTTTCTTTTTTGTATTCACATTTTAAAATTATTATGACTAAATGATTGATTGATTAAATGATAGATTGATTGATTGATTGACACTTGACTCAATGCAAAGTATTTTTTTTCAATGCAGTTTAGGTTAAAAAACATATATATTTATAATATATTACAAATTTCATTACAAAATACAAAAAAAATGCATTTTATACAAAGCATTGTGAAAACAGGTGTTTGGTATTAAGTGAGAGCTTTTGAGATAAGGTCTGTCAAAGACAAAGAACATAAATAACCAGGGTAATAAATCACAACATTCTATACAACAGTAAATATAAAATGAAATATGTAATGTTGATGTTGATGTACTGTAGTCCTGACCAAATAAGCATAGTGATATTTTAATATATTGAAATCTTGGTAATTACAATATCATTATTAAAAACAATATTAATAGCCACAATCAACAGCAATAGCATTAATATTATTGTATTCATATGGCACTTTCTACAGAAAGACTCAAAGTATTTCCAATTTTATTAATATTCCTCCTTTAAACACAAGGAAGTGGCAGGGGTGGGGGGTGGGGTATGTTCTCCTCTTACTGGATCTGCCCCTGAGTGGTGCCATAGGATTGGCCAGCTGGACCTGGACCTAGGTGTCGGGGAGACCACTAAATATAATATTCTTTCTTTGTGATTGGTTAGACTATTTGTTTATATACATTGATCTGCCACTAGCACAGTGAATCTGCCAGATGTTATATTTAAAGTGTAATTGATAATAATCAATTAGTTTATATCCTGTTTGTATAAATGTTATCTACATGTGTAAAATATTTCCACCCACCTGCCATCCAACTTTTTAACTGTAATGTCAATATTTATTAGTAGATAAAGACCAACATTACTTGGTGTTATACAGTAGATACATTATATATACATATTTTTTACAAGTATTTACAGTGCATTATTTTCTTCTTTTTATGGCTTTTTCCCAGACATAATTTTCACACTGAAAAATTAATTGTGAATTTACTACTAATTGATTGATTTAGTTATTGTTACACCTTGTAGGACACAATATTTTGAAAACAGGACAGTGGAAACATTTTACCAATCAAAATATAAGAAAATTACCATCCCCACCCTTCTTCACTCACCCCTCTATCTGCCATTGTGTTGATGCTATTGTGTTGAATTGATATTATATTGCAATAAAGGCCTACAGTACCTCAGTTATGTAAATTGTGACTCATATATTGTTAGCTACTTTGCATATATAATGTCTCTGAAAACATTTAAAAGTTCATCAAAATCATTGAATGGCTCAGTTTTAAGAGGATGAAATAAATTATTAACTTCTAATGGGACACATATTTAAACAAATCATATTTTTTGACATATTGTAGATATTTTATTATTACAAGCCAATGGGCCTATGTAAAAACATTATTTATGCTAACTGGCATTGAAATATTTTCTTGTTTAAATTGTCAATTCAAAAACTTATTAAATACAGGGCCTACAAATTGAGGAAGTATAAAATACAGTAATAAATTTTATTTTAAAAGTTTATTAGCTTTAAACACCTTCAACTCCAAAAACAGTTACCTGTAAACTTATTACCTGTACAATGTTTATATTTTAGCTTTCTCAGGTGAAATAATTTTTTTTTTTTATAAGAAGTTTGCTACAAAATTTGAAATATAATTACTGTTCTGCAATTTAGGCGATGCAATATTAAAGCAAATAAAATGCTGTAATTTATCTTCTATAATAAGACATCTTGGTAAATTAACACCTGAGATAGGCCTACATTAGTAGAAAATGTAATCAGATTTCTTTCATATAAGAAATAGATGGATCTCGTTGAACATAATTTGGCTCATAAATAGTTATTTGCAACGGCCTGGGATCTAGTTTGGCAATGTATTAGATTGTCTTTCGAGCAGGGAAAGGTGAAAAACACTGCCAGAGATCATGAGGCACAGGGTGTAGAAGGCTATAAATAAGTCTGGCAGAGTTTTGCTCGACCTAAAAATATGTTTGAATGTTGGCGAGAAAAAATGACTTGATAATGCTGTACAAATGTACCACCACACTCGCATATTTCATATTTTCATAGTTCAGACATCTTTTAAGCCCTGTGAATTGCACTTTTTTTTGGTTAATATAATTATTATTTATTCATGTACCTGGTCAATTTGATCAAAACAATACACTGCATAGAGCGTGGGTAATATTCTCATTGGTCAGATTACCCAAGTCGAGACGACATTGCCCCGGAGGAATAACCAGACTGCTGCTTAGAAAAACAGCAAAGTCCAATGCAAACAGTACAAGAACTCTTCCTGACCGTGTGTTGATACTGCACACAATGCTCAACTTTTCCCAGAATGATCACTAAAAAAAATTTAAAAAAATTGTTGTGTATGGGTTCCGATGGTGGATTATCTTGACTTCTAATAATTTTTAATTTCTCTTTTATCTGCACTGCTGTTGTCACCGCTACTTACTTTGCTGTCGCTGTTTGTGCTTTGCTGTTGCCTTCATTTTATATTTTTGCTCTCAGTGAGTTTTTGAGAATACCCACGTGTTTTTTCTAGTGGCTCCATGAGAGTAACAATACACTGTTTCTTGCATGCTGTTCTGTGATTTATTTTTAAATTTTTACTTATTAACTTTTTCTATTGGCCTTGGCCGTTTTTACTTCCAGAGAAGAGAGATTTATATATTTATTTTATGTATTTAGCGGAGAAAATTTTGTACAGCAATTTAGTTTGCTTTTTGTTTATCCTGTCTCTGATTTTTGGTATTGTTATTTCTGTTCGTTTTGTATTTGTTAAATGAAATAAATGAAATGAAATCCACGATTAGAAAACAGTAAAGCTGGGTGAAGTGTGTTACAAACTGGTGTGGGTAAAACTGCGATTAAAATTTGATGTGTAAATGACAATACAAATGATTACTTTATTTTAATTTTTTTTAAATTACTGATGAACAGCGTTATAAATTTTTAAGTACAAATAAAATCTATTCAAGGCAAGAGACTATTACACAATAATTTTTCTCATCTACAATTCAATGATTTATTCAATCTAGTGCCTTCAACGTTTAGACGAATCCACCTTCATTCTGGCATCGTTACGAAGAATGGATCGGCAACGTTTTTTTTTCTACTACATTCAACAGAGCAAACTATACAACGTAGAAGCTTCGACGATGTGTTCTTTTGAACACAACACACACAAGCACACACCATGGAGGTGGCTATTCTTAACGATTCTGTACACTCATGGTACAATGGTCAACATGTGATTATGGAGTTGATTAGATACCAAATTGCTATGATTCCATGTTGCTATGATACCATGTTACTAGGGTACCATGTTGCTATGATACAATATTGCTATACCATGTTACTAGGATACCATGTTGCTACAGTAGTCATCATGTTACTAGAGTACCATGTTGCTAGGTACCACATTACTAGGGTACCATGTTGCTATGATACAATATTGCTATGATACCATGTTACTAGGATAACATGTTGCTAGGTACTATGTTCTTTGAATATGGATTATCCGTGTAACTGAAGTTTACATAACACATACTAAGTAACACTACAGTATGTGTGAACAGAAATTTTTCTTATTCAAATTAACAATACTGATACAGTAACACTATAAATTGCTTCTTAAATTTAATTTTTCATTCATGGTTTCACAGGACTTTTAGAACAACTTTTGACACTTTTTAAGTAAATATTGAATATTTTTCAATCACATGCATTTGTAATAATACAGTATCCTCTGCACAATACCAAATTATTAAACTGTAGACCCTTATAGCACTTTCAAGGAAAATGTGATTAAACAAACAGTCAAGTTACATTGCAAGATTTATCATTGAAATCACATTGTTTTCTCTCTTAAATCGGCAATTTTCATCATTTACTTTGGTTGATTCTTTGGTATAATAGCAAGGTATACATAGATCTGATGAAAGCTGGAAGCTATTACACAGGAAGATCTCATTAGAGTATTTAACCTACTAAAGAACATTTTTTACTAAATTGATTTAGTTTCAAAGGGTGATAAACAGGACTTTTCAATTTCCAACTCTACTTCCGGGGGTTGCTTTCGTTCTGGCTAAATACCAGGCAATGGAAACATAATCAAAATTTAGTCTTTGAATATGGAATTTATCTTATACTCACTAAAAGAAAACTGATGACAGTTTGGAACCAAAACTTTTTTCAAATTATGCATTTAAAAAAAAAAAAAAAAAAGAACAAGAAATTTTTATCAAATATAACATAATAGTAATATCCTACATTAATTATCTGTTCAATGTATTATGCGTACTTCACTGTGAACAATGGTGAGAATTTAGATCACCTATGCATTTACATTCTCCCAAACAACACAATTATGCCTGAAATATGCTAAGTAATGAAGAAACATATTACATTACAAAATATATGAGTTGTTATCAACGTATCTAATTACATAGCAGAGCATATGTACACATTGTGTACAATGTACCTTACACTACTAGAACATGACGACAGCATGAAGACATAAACTAAGCAGTCATGGAGCTAGTAAAGCACCATGTACTGTACACTCCTAAAAAAAACACAGGAAAAAGAAATTGTACTTTGGTCTCCCCTTTGCAATGAAGACAAAACATACAACAATCATAAATACATAACCGTTATATATATTACAACAGAACCCATTAGATCAATAAATTAACAGAATTAACCATTTTGTTAAAGGACACCTGTCATATGTTAGGGATCTTTTCTTTAACTAAGTGTTTTCATGCTTGATTGGAGTTGTCATCCTATTTGCAAGATAAATCCAGGGAAATTTGCTGGAATGAACCCACAAACAGTGGAATCAGCAAAGTAACAGCTTCACTTACACTTTATAACAAAAAATCAATAACACCACACTGGTGGTTTGCATATTGTACCAAACCCAAATAATCATAATTGATATATATTATCCTTAATTTGGCACCAAATAATTAGTTTGCAATCATAATCAGTAGAATGATAATCCAATGATTAAAATATACAGTAAACAGCACACTTGCTTATAGATAAAATAAATTAAACCAAGTTATTAAAAAGGTAGAAATATAACAAAATTATGTTATATTGTAATACCGAGGCTAAATCTGCATTAAAAAAAAAACAAATAAATTGTTTAAAAGGTATAAATGACAATTAATTAAAAGAAAAAATGGTTATTGTACAGTATGTACATCACATTTTGTTTTCATGTTTCAAATAGACATTAGCACACAGAATGTATTATATAGCACATTAAATGGTAATCTATATTAAAATATTCATGTATGGTAAAAATGACATTTTTAATCATCTGACAACGTGCACTGTAATTGTCATCAACCAAATAAAGAAATTATTCTGCAGACAAAAGAAATTAACTTTTTCCACTAAAAAAAAAAGATCCCAGTTCACACAAATAACTTCATGTTAAATTTGCATAAGCAGAGGTGAATCTTTCATTTAAAATTAAAAATATTGTAATACATTTTTATACTTTAAATTATTTTTCTTTTTTTTTTTTGACTGTAATTCATCTAACCATTTAGTATAAAAATGGATTGTTAAAAAGTAGTTTACGAAAATATGAACCTCTCAAACTTGGGCTCTATTTTCAAAAAACAGGTCTTTTGCAAGTGTCAGGGATACTAGCTACAATTGTCTTTGGTTGTTCTGTGTAAAACCTATAATTATTAGTTCACAAACTTGAAAGTACAATCATCTTGCATTAATTTCTCATCGTATACAGTATTCAATTAGAATGCTTACATATTTTTATTTCTGAAAAGCCATATGGTAGATAATAATCTTGTATTGAATGTTATGGCAAGTCAGGGTTCGGATCATTTAAGTTGGGCGTACAGTGCAATGCACCGGCCGACGCAATTCCACTTCTTTACGAGAGGCACTCGATAGATCGTATTCAATGACAATCAGTTCCGACTGCCACCAACAATCAATAGATGGTGATGCTCCATCAAGCGCTCGCACAGAGTGAAAATGGATTTGTTGGCAATGCATTTTATGCCCAGCGTTACACTTACAAAAATCTCGGACTTGATGATGGAAGCAGACACTATTAAGTACAGTATCGTTTCTAACAATTACAACATCTTTTTCTATAACATATTTACAATAGCATGCTATGGATAACAGTTTGTTTATCATCTATAAACGGACACAAATGAAAACAAAGCACGTTCAACAAATATAAACATAGAGTAAAAAGGGGTTCTTTGGACTTATACAAAATTGTTTTGGACATTCTTATAGTGACTTGAATGGTTGTAATCTATACTAAAAGGCAATGTGTACATGGTTCAATCATGTACCATCAATCAAACTATATTTACAAAGAGTATAACAATATCGCAATTAACTTTGTACTTATAGTACGCACAAATTGACAAACATCTCCGATAAACATTAAATCCTGTTCTTCTCTAATTAATCTTTAATTTTACAATAAATAGCTTATAATCTACGAACAAAAAAGTTATAGAACTTTTTTTATCTTAACACTTTATTGTGTGACCTATGAACGACCTTGAATGACCTTTGACATTCTTATACAGTATTTTAATGTACTGTATGTCAATAAGTTACTTGAAATGTAAATAAATAAATATATAGGCAAAATACATAGACGTCATGTAGCATGTCTAACCAAGGTTATTTACATCAAACTGATAAACAATACATTCAAACATGCAAGGCATTCTCAAGCTAAGTTAATGTTCAAAAACACAAGGGAAGTTTAAAGTAAACAAAGAAAACTGTACATTTATAACAGGAATCAAATTATTATGACTCTTTGGCCTCGAAGTCTTGAAACACTATATAATGTTAATTTTTTATTGAAATAAACAAAACAAAAAAAGAAAAAAAAAGAAAGAACTTAACATTGCTACAAAATATACATAACTAAAATTTTTTTTTTTCATTTTTTGGCAGATATTCAGGTTTTTAAATATAAATTGTGAGAAACATCCCCTTTTGTTAAAAACCAGAAACAATAAATAAACGGATGTAAAGTACTACTACAAAATATTGCTCAACGTTCTTTGTTAAATTAGGGCGACAACTCTAGGTGATTGCTTGACGCAATCAATCCACTTTGTCTATTTTCTTATTTGCACATGTTACTAAAGGGAATATTAATTATTAATAAAAGGATATGAAATTGTATTAAATTATGATTACCGGCAATTATGCTGGCAAGAGAGACCATGTAATATAATATGTATTGCCACAATATACAGTAACAATCACTTTCTGTATTATATAGTAGAATCTTGTCATTTGTGTCTCACAATCGTCAACAGTAAGTACAATTATACAAAGAGAGACTTATTAAAACTATGCGCAGCATTGGGCGCAATAAACATGGATGGAGTCGCTAGACAAGATGCTAAGCTATAATTACTTCAAGGTAAAAATAAACCAAAGCATGTACAGACAATACGATGAATTCCAGCACAACTGAATTCAATTCAACAAGGATGATCAAATCGTAATGAAATTTAAAACTAAAATTGTAATCGCAAGATCAATTAGTTACATAGTAATTAATCTCATCTCGTTATTTATCTAGTGCTCGGTCCTTCCATTATATAAACAGAATGTCACAAGCGACATTGAGTTATTGTTGCTCGCTTGTCCACCGTGCATGGCCTACCACTACCAGGGCAGTTATGACGTCAACTACATTACAAAAGACATGCCGACATGTAATGTCATCTGCAGCTATGTAAATAAATTAACCCCTTTACATAATCAATGAGAAGGAATATATAAATTGAACATATCCACTCAGGCAGAATTTTCTGACCTACAACATACTGTATTGTCCAGTGTTGTGAAGGCTCATGATATAAAAAAGTTTGCTGTTAAGAAAAATCCCAAGAAAATCTGAGCTACAATAATATAATTTTCTAAACAACGATTAAATTTGATCCCCACAGAATCCTTAGTAGATTTCTGCATTGTATTATTTTAATTTTTATGTAGTTATAAAGTACTTTTGTTATTTCTAAAAACCAAAGGGCCAACTGATTTATTTAAGATATGAAAGATTAATGCATATCCTAAACAAAGAAACCATTATGTCATGTATTTCTTTGCTTGGAGTATGCATTAGTGTCCCATAATTTTCAATGTACTATATAATATGAGCTAAAGTATATTTGAGCGTTTGTAGGCTTCATCCCAATGATTCAATCATTATATATACTTTCAATTTAAAACACAATTATGACTGACAGATGTACAGACCTACCTAAAACAAGCAGACAACAACTGCCTTAGGCTAGCCAGACTCAAAACAATACAGTACTTAACACTTTTTGTGAAATCCAATTAAAATGTAAATATCGCCAGCCCAGATTTCTTGGTCACAAGAGCTTTTTCAATACTAGCCCAAACATGCTTTATTGTTCGCGGACAATCAGCTAAACAGGACAAATTATACAGTAACTGATTGCAAACAAAGAAACAATATAAAGACCTGTAGACACCATATATTAATGGCAATGTTCTTTGTATACCTTTATCTGATAGCAACATGGTGACTCAGACAGCTATAGCACGAAAGGTACATGATCACCGATAGATTCAAATTAATTAAAGGCCGTGAACTAATCAGTTTTTGCTGGGAAGCTGAATGCCCCGAAGTACATCTAACAACACTTTATGAAACATATGAACCCGATTGCAATGTAGAATGCCAGCAATCTCAAGAGATTTCAGCTGATGCTCTGATGGGATTATTTCTGTGTTACCATCTGAAAATATGACCCTCTAAATAGTCTGCTTGAAAACTGTCTTAATGTTGATTGGACGTCTTTGTTTGATGACATACCATGTGCTCTATAATTCATCTGAACAAAGAAGGTAGCTTTAAACCAATGTGAATTCAACTGTCTGATAAATAACTTAGAGTTTAGCACACATACTTTTAATCTGATAATCTACACAACTGTATGTTATGTTTAAGTAAATCTTTTTTCGGCGGATGTTCAGAAATTGCTTGAAGAGCTTTTTAGAAAGGTTATCAAAGGAAGCACACGTCGCCTGTAAGAAACGGATTCTATCGCAAGATTCCTTTGTCCTATTTACTTCTAATTAAATAATTCTCAATACATCCTAGACTAAAGGGAAATCCGATCAAAATTTGGTAATCATAAACTATATCTGCACAGGCTGAATAAAAATGAATACCTTTAGCTATGTCACAGATATTTTACTCCAGACTCAGAATAATATATTTAACAAACTTGATTTTTGAAAATCCAAATGGACATTTTTATAATACATTAAGACTGGTATAACTTGGTATTTATGTATTTTGTGACTATCAAGGGATAGTTTGAATGAAATAAATAAAATATGAAAATAACAAGTAAACCCTGTTTCTTCTTTCTTACACTATCAATAAATTATGACAACCTAGTGAAAAATTAACTGCAGTTGATACCACATAAATAAAGTATATTATTATTCAAGACTGCACAAAATAATGCACTAACATTTTTATTAATTAAAATTCATTGTCTTCAAAACAAAGATATTCTTTTCGCATTGTTTTTCTTTTTAATTCATTAAAGCTTAAAAATTTGCATCCCTACTTAAACACAAAGAGCCGCAGTTTTAAATAAAAAAGAATTTTATAAAATAATTTCAAATTTATGTTTCTATGTGTTCTCAGAATTATTCCGACACGTAAAAAAACAAACTGATTACGATATTATTTTTCTTACCTAATCTCTGGCTGGTTTTGTGAGAGGGCATCCATGGATATGGGTAGTGAATTCGTATTTATCTATCGCTTTGTATCCACACATGTTACATTGGAATGGATCGTTATATCCATGAGACCCCCGATGGATCACAAACAGCAAATTATCTGGAAAAATGATCTTGCAGTGCGGGCAAATAAACTGAAATTGTTCTTGCTTCTGTCGAAGAGTCTCTATCGCGTGATTATTAGTTTGCGTGGCTTGGTCTTGAAGAGTATTGTTTGGCGTGGTTGCGGCAGGAGGGGATCTTGTGTCCAGCTGGTACGGATTGGGACTGGCTCTGTTCCTGTCTAACCTCTGAACCGGATTTAGCATCTTTCGTTTCGATGGGATTCTGTTGCTTGTTCCGCTTCCTGGGTCTTGTTGCCGGGATGGATTATGAGTACCGTTGATATGTTCTGGAAGTATGTTCGCTTCGGTTTTGATAAATGGCATTTTGTTGGGTACCGCTATGTCAAATGATTGTGATACGGCAATGTTCGAATTAACATAGAAATTATTTGCATTTGCATATTCTAGACGTCCGCTATCTTGAAGGTGCTTGAGTTTAGGGTACTCTGTGTGTTTAGGGTACTCTGTATGACTTTCTAACTTTGTTGGGCCAATTTTGGCATACCCAGAATCCTTTGCTATGTCTGCTGAATGGATATTTGAGTCAGTACCATTTGAAGTGTTGCTATTGGAAGATACGCCATTTTCTGATAGGTCAGCAATACCAGAGTTTGCTGCCTCGTGATTGGTAGCTGAATATTCTAAGCTTCCTTCTTGTGATGGGTCTACAACAACAATACCGCTATCCTTATGCATTGTCATTAAATGCTTGATAAATTGTGACTCGTAAGCACACGCATAGTCACATTGGTCGCATTCATAATGCGACTCCATGTCATTTGACATCATCTCCAAGGTGTCAGCAGCCTCGGGTTCACTATCATGAGAGGGTGATTGTTTCACCGAACAGTCAAGAGGAGCACTTGTGTCCATTGGTTGGGCAGGTGTATTTTGCTTGACACCATTGTTATTAATTACTTTGGCCTTTTCTTGTTGCTGATGGGCAGTGTAGTCCACTATAGCACTATAATCACTACTGGAGTTTAAAATTTGCATCTTGGGTGGTGGACCTCTGTTGGCTAGATTCTGATGCAAAGCCAACATATTCTCCATGTTCAAACCTTTCAAGTATTCCGGTTTCACATTTGTACTGGAGTTCATTAAAGAAGACATCCGAGCTTGCCGATCATAAATACTTGGTCTACCTTTAAGTACGCTTATCCCATCAGAGGGCGCTGCATATTGGTCATCAACGAAGCTAGAGTTCATGTAGGTTGCGATTGAGTAAGTGGTTATACTGTGGTACCTCTCCAGATGGAGAGAGATTGCACGTTCCTTTTGGCAATAAAACTCGCAGTGAATACATTTGTACTTGCATCGATCACGGTGACGGACACGCGTGTGTGTACGAACGGTGGACGGCTGGGACGCTGCATACGGGCAGTAGCTACATTGGTAGGGTCGATGACCTCGATGTGAGTTGATATGAAGCATCAAGTTGTGTTTATTTGGCGAGGAATATGGGCAATGGTGACATTGGAAGCGAATCATGTGTCCCTCTGGAGTTGTGGCTGTGTTAGTTCGCCCCATTTTGAAATTTATCTTTGGTTTAATAGCCTGAAAATATAGAAAAGTATTCATGAATACTAAAATCACATAAAAAATGATAATAAAAAGATTTTAAAAAGAGTGTTTTTTGATTAAATATAAAATTCCTGTATAATACTGTACCTGGCATAAATTCTGTTCTGATTTCCTTATGAGTTTTCAGGATACTTGCTAATGTATTACTGAATTTTGTCTGGCAGCCTCTGAAATATTCAATAGATTATTAAAAATATTTTAGGTCACAAATAATATTGTAGATACTTATCACATGATATAATAGTCAATTTAATATTTCCAGACATTATTAACATTTCAAATGTTAATAATTAACAAAGACGAAGATACTAGACTTTTAAAAACATGAACAGTACATATAAGATTTTGTTGGAATTTGAAACTACAGTCAAGTGAATGGTAAACATGATTACAAATATTTATATTATGAATAGCAAACATTATGTTACATAAAATCTTGTATCTTATTTAACATGTACGAAATACAACCACACAGTTTTAAAATGTGTTTTACTACTGTCATATTAAGAAGGAATAAAACTAAAGCCTACAAATTACAGATTATATATTATATAAAAAATAACCCATAACTTTACATTTTGCCCATTCAAAATACAACTAATATCAAATCTACAAATAAAATCAAATTACTCATGATTCAAATTAAATTAAGGCCATAAATAAAACTTCCAAAAAATTTACCACAGTTTAAATAATAAAAATTATATCCATTAAAATCAAATCACTGTGCTTCAATTCAAACTAGCTAATATTTATGTCAAACTAATGTACCCACCATTGAAATCAAATTACACATGATTAAAATAAATCTACATAAGATTCAATTATTCATATTTTAATGGAATGACCCATGATTAAGCTTCTTGAATGAGTAAATCACAACATTTTTCTTATCAGTCTCTAATGTGAGTATTTGTGCAAAGGAAGCTCTATGTTGATGATTAATGTTACGACGAGTAAAGTATACATTGTAAGATACAGTAGGATGTACTGTACAGTATACTAGTGGCAGGATGACTGAAAAAAGTTGAACATAACTTGCATGTTAATTCATAATGTTAACACAAGTTTGCATATGCTTTAAATTTAATGCATATCTCTAACAATTGGGTTAAATATTAAAATATTATGTGCTGCAGTTAATTAAAATTTTGAAAGTTTGGGAAGGCTGTCATTTAGTGGTACTGAAGTATGGCTGTATAGTAGTGCTATATGCAATGTTATGTTCACCAAAAAGGAGGAAAATTCCTCGAAAAGGATGAGGATATTCTACGCATAGCTATGCGTGGCAGCCTGGTACCTGGATATCCCCGTAAAATATCCGATTTCTTTTCCACTCTGGAAGCTGTCTCTTATACACATCTAGATGTGTATAAGAGACAGTACACACACACACTAGCTTTTTGATGACCAATTAAAGGTTCTCAATGATTTTATATAGTTTAATTCAATATAATTAATTTTAAATTATATTCTGTAAGTATCTGGACATTTATATTAAAATTATTCTTGTATAAAACAAATTTATTTTGATAAATTTAGCTAAAGCTTAATTAAAAAATGGCTGTTCTAAAAAACTCAATGTTCATACGACTTACAGAATTCATATTAAAAATCAATGGTACGTAGAAATTAATTTACGGTATACAATAATAATGTTTAATCTAGATCGGAAAAAAAATCAATATATAATAATAACATTGTACACCAAACACTTGCACACTCAGTAAATTAACTCTGGACTGGAACCTTATACACATTAGTATAAATGCAAATATAGTGGAAGCAATTGTTCGACGTACTGTAAGTACTGTAGATAGTGTGCATTAGCATATTACATATTTGAAAATGATTAATAATATACTATTTTAAATTAATCTTCTGATATTAATATAGTCCTTCATCAAAATATACATTATATTCTCATATATTATTATCAGAAAACATATTTTGTACACCCACGGCTCAAATTTAATTTTGAATTAAAAGAAAAATCACGATTTATACCAGCCTTAGTATAGTAAGTCCAAAATGGTAATCAAACTTTTTACTATTGCTATATATTTATCTCGGTAAATTGATTTTTTGGCAAAAAAAATGTTTATTGTTATTATAATTCTTAATAATATTAGTCTATTTTTAAATGTACCATCTGTGATATTAAGCTAAAAATAAAATTATTTACAATATATTCAACTTATTACTATACCTTTCAAATGAAAATATATTTAAAAAAAAAACATTCTTGCCTATATAATGAATGTAATAATTAATGTTCCTAGCATTTCGCAACATCAAATTGGCTGGTAATCAATTAAGAATTTTGAATTAAAACATCTGTAAACCATGGAGGAAATTTCCTCCATGTGTAAACCAATGAAAACTGAATGTTTGGATCAATGTTTTATTTCAGTTGATAACTTATATAATACTTATTAAAGCCATTCATTTTTTTTTTATTGACATTTTCTATGGTATTTTTTAAATATTTCACCAGAGGCAGAATAATTTAAGTAAATTAATATTATTTTTAGAGATTAGTTGGTTAGATTTTAGCGCATGTTTCTACTGATAAACACAAAATCATCAACTTTTTTAACCGTTTTTGTTAATGAGCGCCCAGACTGCCTGCCTGCATTGCAACTGCATTTTTGATTTTATGAAAATAGGTTTTTTGCGGCAGAAATTACGTCATTTTGTTTATATACGTTTTCCAAACTGTATACTGTAGTTTCTTTCTCACCAACAAGACAATATATTTCACATGAATTCTGGTCACGATAAAGAGAGGGTGATACGGTGTGGGTGTGCGGCAAGAAAGCGAACGCATAATCACAACGAACGAACAAAAGAACGAGGACAACGGTAGGCCCAGAAGAGCAGAGAGGCCTAGGCTAGGCATAAGTTCAATATCCTTCCACAAAATTATTACAAAACGAGTAATTTCGTCCCTTCACATGTTTGTTGACGTTTTAGCTTGTAGGCCTAGGACATAAACAAAAGGACTAATTATTTTTAAAGTTCGTGCATGGTACAATCTTGCTTTGCAGTGGTTTTACCTGGAGGTCACATTTCACCTGATAATCGCTTTTTGTGTTGCAGCTAAAAAGCGCACAACCAAAAAATCGGTTATTTGCCGTTCAAACACACCATCCATTGCATGTTTTTGATTAATTTTTTTTAATCGCTTTTTTTGAACTGGTCCCGTTTCTACTGCGAGAAAAAAGCGAATTTTTGAAAAAGCGATTTTTTTCATTTCAGTAGAAACAGGCTCTTATATTCTCTTAGTTTTTTACTGCAAAGATTATCCTTGGAGAGCTGGTAAACATGTGACTAGCATTGAGTGATACTCTACTGACCTACTGTATAGTAACTGACCATACATAAACAGATGTGACTAAGACAAGAGGTAAGATAATTTGAGTGTGAGGTTAGCAAGTTTTGGTTTCTTTGTAGTTTCCATAAAACATTGATTGTTGTAAGATTTACAGGTGAGAAAAATTATTACTACATTGGTATTGTCCTTGGTGTGATGACACAGATGAAACTCTAGAGGGTCCATGAAATTATACTTAAAGACTGGATAATATTCAGACTTTAAAAAGTCCTGGCAAATAAATATAGTTAAAAAAAAAATGTGAATCCATATGAGGCTGAGAAAATAAAAGGTAATAGACCTATAACATGAAAGACTTTAAAGAGGTACATTATGCTACTCCTAACATTATAAAAAAAATTTTATTTCTACCAAACCAAATAAAGCGTTAAATTCTTGAATTGCAACAAAATGCTGCTATGTCTATCTAGTTGTAGAAATACTAATTACCACATAAAACTGCGGTCCTATAATGCCCAGTAGATAATAAAACTAAAAGATTCTTATTTTAATATTTTAAAAGATTTTTGGCATAAAAATAATATTCATCAATTAACAAGGTAGTAGAATGTACTGGATAACACTATTAAAAATAATGTACTGAGTGCGCACTAATTAGTAAGACCTTAACAAACTGTTTAGAATTTATTGAACAATCAAAAGAAAACATATTTTCCTTATAACAAAAGGGATGACAAGAAAAAAAAAGAATATAAAAAGTAATGGAGAAATACTTAGTAAACAAGAAACAACTAGCTGTTTTATAGAGGTCATAATGTTGTACAAACAACTTGCCCACACATGGTGCCAGATAAGAGAATTAAAGAAAATATAGCAATGGGAGGACCTAGACAAATAAATTAATAGTTTGTTTCAAACAAAAATACATATTTTTAATTTTTTAGGATATAAATTAATTATTGTTTCTGTTTTGTAGTCAATCATTCAACTGTAAAATTCTTCAAAGTTACAGTACTATACCACACCTGACAAACCTACATAACAGTCAACAGTATAAATTTGATATGCAAGATCTTTGTAAATAACATTTTTATTAAGTTCTCTGAAACCCGATTTCTAGACAATGGAAGTCATTGTTGTGATCAATGCTTTATTTACAATTATCAGACAATAAAAATTGCAATGAATGAATAAGACAAAATTAAAGTGCTAAATATCCCAAATCTGTGCCGCAAATACGGCCACAAAGTGCCTTAGACATCATTAAAAACTACAGAAATAGCTAACATGTATATTGGGGACTACAAGCCGATAACATTTTAACGTAAAATCTCAGTGGTTCGCAATCAAATCAGCTAGGCGAGCAAAACCTGTCATCAACGGAGTGTCACTCCAGCGCAGTCGTTTATTGATTGACACAATCGCTCCGCACTGCATTGAACAAAGACTTGATCGTACATGATTCTTTTCAATGAATCGGCTGGCTACCGCAGGATTTCACATCCTCTTATTCTATCTAATGTAACAAAGCCCTTTTTAACAAAAATAAAATGTTACCCATCAGCTTGTAATACCTTATAATAATGGAATTATCACTCATCCATCGGAAAGTTTAAAGTCAGGACTAGAACTACCTTCGATAACTGCTCCCAAAACAACAAAGACACGCTGCTGCTGCACTGATTGTTATCCCACTTCCGCTTTCATTAGAAAAGCGCCACCTTTCCTGGAAATAAACAAGATTCGTGTGTTCGTATTTATGCTTCGTGAGAGGTCACTTGAAGTGTAAATGGCCACGAATAACCTTTTTTACGTTGTTGTTTACACACATGTCGAACAAAATACACACATGTCGAACAAAATAAGGTAGGCTGTACCCGATAATGAAGGAAAATAATATTTATAAGTTTTTGTGTATTTCCTAACTATGAAGGTTATTGAATTGAGAACCACACACACACACACACTCATGTATTAAACTTTTAAGAAAAGTATACGAGCAGCCAGTAGTAGGCTAGTTAGCTAGCCTCCTCCTCCTAGAGAGCTAGCCTAGGCCTGGGCCCTACCTAGTAATAGAGAATAAGATTCAATCATTGTCAAGCAACGCCGTTTCTTTCTTCTCAACAATCTCAATCGTCAAAAGGAGAGAGGAGGCGAGTTAGGGGTTTCCCAAACAAGGCTCTTCTACTTCCAGGCCTAGACAAGGAAGAAGGCTAAGTAGGGAGGGAGGTCTATAACATAGGCTAGGCCTAGCCCTAAAATAAGTAAAGCCTAAAGGCCCTGGCTGGGGTGGATTACTATAAGACGGTCTTAACTGGTAGTCTTAACTCCTCGAATAAAGCCGGCTTTATTTATTTATTTATTTATTTATTTACATTTATTTACCCAGGGTAGCCCAAACAGTTAAAACACTGATTTCCATTGGGGCCCTGCATTTAAAGCACATGGTCGTAACCGATTATATTTTCTTAATTAGTGCCTCGTAAAATTTGTATTTAAATATGTTTAGAGAAGTCGCAGTTCTCAAATCAATATCTAAGTCATTCCATATATTCGCCACGGTCACCTTAAAACTCGTGGAATAACTTTCGCTTTTCGAAAAAGGAACCTTCAACTTCACGAGCTTGCAAATACGGTGTGAAAGGTTTGTCATGTATAAAGGTATTAATCGGTTAATGCATTTATAAACAAGTATAGCTTTTTTATACGTAACCCTTTCGGAAAACGAAAGCCAACTGAGTTGTGCAAACATATCTGCAGATGGGATAAGAAAATTACATTTTAAAACTATCCTAGCAGCGCTTTTTATAAATTTGTTAAGTAAGGTATTGTGGGATATGTAACGACCTCCCCATACAGTGCAGCAATATTCTAAAGATTATCACTTAGACGATCTTACTAAAGTCATACCTCTAAGACCATTGCTATAAAACAGTCTTTCCTAAGACTTTGAGTATTGAAATGCAAACAAGCACTCCCTGGTAACGTAAGATTGAGGGCGACGTCATGCAAATGTATCAAAATAAACAAAAAAAAAACGCTGTAGACCTATTTTTACAGACGCTGAGAAGTGTGCGGAGTATTAGTCATTCAATTCTCCGACTTTGACGATCTAGGCCTAGGTCTTGCCATTGCACTGTTGAATTTATCAGTCAGAACGTCATGATGAAAATGATTTAAGACCATTTTAAGCCTCCTCTGAGTAGGCTTTAAAATTTAAGACGGCTAACTGGTTAGACCGCGGTATAGCAATTTTCTATAATCATAGACCAGTAGTGATGTCACGATCATAGCCGGCTAACCGTTAAGACTGTCTAAAGACTGCTTATAGCAATCCATCCCTGTTGTATTACTATTAGCCTAGGGCCTAGTCTACACTAGGCTAGGCCTGACCCCTGTGCAGGACCAGAATTTTTTTCATTTGGGGTGTGGTGAGCCCACACCCAGGTAGCCTAGGGGCCTAGGGCTTATGGCGTAAATATTAAAATAATGCAGTGGCTATGCTTACAAAAATCCCAATGTGCTGATTGGTCGACTTGGCTTTACTCTAACCTTAAAAATAACTCGAATTGCCAAGCGGTTAAGGCAGGGGCGCTGCAACTTACAGCCATAATATGGTTGCTGGTTCGAAAGGCACGCTCACCTATGGTTCTGGCGGTGGAAGAAGTCTTGTCGGAAAAGGACTATTTAAACCGTAGGCCAGTGTACACAATTTGGCACATGTGCACTTTATAGAACCTAGTACATCTTTCGAGACGAGTAGGGGGTTACCCTGGTGTACTGGTCCCTGTTGTGGACAGACAAGAGAAAGCTCGTACCGCTTTAGCGGGAAGCTCAGACATGAAGAGACCCTTAGGGGAGGAGAAAGTTATTGTACAAAAGGTAGTCCACACCTCAAGCACTTTGAGACGGTATACAGCACTATATAAATCAAACTACATTACATTAAGGCAATGCATCTCGGCATAAGCATAGCCACTTTGTTAAAATAATAGTGCCCTGGCTGGCCCTTCTGAAAATTATGTAAAATTATTATTATTATTATTACATTGCAAAAGACTCAAAGATGCATGTAAGCTGCCCCATTTCATGGAAAATGATTAAACAGAAATGGTATGAAGAAATTTGAGGTGATGATATAAAGAAATAATTGATAACTCGGATTGAAAAGAAACTAGGAATATAGAAATATAACTTCAGTATTATTGCAGTTTTAGTGGAGAAAAGTGGAGAAAAGAACTTATTTTGTGGATGTGACCCTGGCAAAGCAGGATCTTGTCTTCCTATCTAGAGCCAAGAGCTAATAATTGATGCATAATAAATGGTTAGAATCAGATAACAACAAATGGGGAAGATGGAATGCTTTATATTTCTGGCATACATAGTATGGTATCTCACTTGAAAAGTTTTGTAAATCTGGTTTAAGATTTCAAAGTTCAAAGTGCAAAGAGGAATTATGGAATACCATTGCAACATAAAGCTAAAGCAAGGAGTGTAGAATTTGCAAGAGTTCTGACTGTCAATGTTGACAGAATCTCCTCTGAGGCAGTAGACAGATGCTCCCACCTGGAGCCTGTGTTGTGTGTGGAATATACCTCAAAGATACATGTTTAAAGCATTTTTTAGTAGAATGAATTTCATATAAATTTATTGCTAAAATCCATTATTCACCATATATCTACATATTCATGAATTAATTTTACTTTGTACTATATAGTGTGGTACTGTCTGTACACTAGGACCAAGAACCTATTGACCACCCTGGCTGTTGTCATAAATTATATAGCTTACATCTGAATTCAGAAAGGTCTCAGAAAATACAGATTGCAGGTTCTGTATTATGAATAGGTAGGAACTCATTTCATTGCATTTCACTTTTTTTACGTTTTTGACAGACTGAATGAAATTATACTTGACAGTACTGAATTAAACACAATTGAATTTGCGTCAAAGACAAAAATACATTTGCATATCTTCTGATAGCATTACATGACTGTAATTAAATGTTGATTACTGTTGTTAGTTAACAGTGACAGTATAATATATTGGCTCATCAACGATCTGCATGGACTAGTAAACTAATGTAGTGTGATGTTATAGGTAGGCTGACACCCATTGTGTGGTTTTGACTATTCCAACTGGATCAAACTGGATTAGATTTTTCCTTCTGACCAGTGACCTCAGGGTTACATATTTCCCAGGTTTGAAATATGGATCCCAAATCAAAGGCAGTGGCGGATTCAAGGGAGACCAAGCTGTCCCAGGCCCCCCCTAAATTTTTCGATATTTTGAGAAAAAAATGAAATTGTATTAAAATTTAAGTCTGAGAGTGCCATTCCAGCCATCTAGAGGTGCCATTAAACATAATTTTTTTTGTATAGACCCACTATTTATCAAAGTCCAGCGCTGGGGCCCTCTATTTCAAATTTTTGGATCTGCCACGGAAAAGGTAGGCCTACGTATGAAAGAAAAGATCAAAATTCTTCGTACCATATTTATTATCTTTTTTTCATATTCATTCAAAAAGAGCTTTAAAGCAGAAAAGCATTCCTATTCATAAAGGTCACATTTGATCAGAACAACATTGTCCAGTATGGCTGCAAATAAAGTTGCACCAATATCAGTATCTCAATAAGGATTTTAACAAATACAGATTTAGGGCGCAGACATTTTAAGGTTTTATGAATACTAGTACCTGCATTGTAAACCTCAGCACCCAATGTGTCAAGATTTTATATTTGACGAATAATTCATGTTTTTTTCCTCATGTTGTTGTCATAAATTTTCTGAATAATTTATAATAGTGTTGTCTATTCACATGTAGTATAGGCCTATTATGTATGGAAACATGTTTTTTTTTTTATACTGGTACATTTTAGAAGTTTGTTTAAAAGATTAAAGCTAAAATAATGTTATCAATTAATCATTGATTCATCCATGGTCCACTTATACATTTTATAAATTAAGTCTACACATTGTACAATTGTATTCAAGTTTATATTACCATACTGTACCTATCAAGTCTCATTTAGGGATAAAAAGCTGGTTAATCCACTGTATGTAAACACAATATTGTTTTCATTTTTGATCAGGGCCTCAATTGAATTACTGTAAAACTTATAATAGTAAACTCATTACTCTATTAATAACCCCTCCTCTAGTAATAGTAACCCGCCCTAGAAGTTAATCTATAATAATAACCCACTAAGATAATGCATGCAGATGGTTGGGGGGTGTTGATGGATACAAAAATGAGGGGCGGACATGTGTTTTTGAGTTTATAAATAAATTTAAATCAACAAAGTTTTTTTACTCGTACTGATGGTTATTTATTTCTATGAATTGCGGATTTGGGGTGAGGGGGTTTACTATTTGCAAGTGCCTACATTTAGCTTAGTAATAGTAACCTACTACTCTAATAGTAACCCATCCTTAAAAAATAATCATAGAATAGTAACCCAGGGTTATTATTAGAAGTTTTACTGTACCTTAACTTAGTAATGCTCTCCCACATGCTTTCAGATTAAGGTCGAACTCATGTTACCATCTTACTATGTTGAAGGGTTGATTGACATAAACTACTGCTGAAAGTATATTTGGAATAGGTTAACTTTTAGTATGTTTTTTTGTTTCTTTCAAAGAGATTTATTTGTAATCTAACAGGTATTATGCTTCTATCAATTTTGTGTCCTTTGTTGAATATCAGTTACGAAAATTTGGATTACAGCCTGTGTCAAACTCTGACCATACCTTTCAATTGGTCAGTACACCAAATAATACTGTTTTTTTGTTTTTTGTGTTTGCATCAGTTTTACACACCAGTACAAATTGGCTTAACACAGAGGTGGGAATAAAAGTTGGTCAGAGGCCCAAAAGTGAGTTTTTGATTTAATGCAGAGGGTCACACCCACACTTTGATTGTTCCACTGTGATTGTAAAAGCCTTCATCCACTGCTTTTTTACCATTTTATTCTCAGTGTTTTTTAGTAATTTGTTTTTTACAAATGATCGGTGTCAGCTGTAAAAAAAATTGAGGTTTTTGCTAGACAGAAATGGTTGGCAGGCCACACACACATACGATTTTTATTTAATTTTGCAGGCACCGACAGGCCACATGTGGTCTGCGGGCTACACTTTCCCCATTATCCCATCCAAAGGACTGGGTAATAAGAGAAAAGTGTCCTTAAGCAGGAACAGCATTATTGCTATATGGAGTATAATATCCAATCAAAATAATATACACAGATATGAACATTTGTTATTTTAGATGGTATTTTTTTTATTTATTTTTTTTATTTATTCTTTATTTTGTAAACAAAGTACATATAACATATAACTAAAGACAAGTACATAATATTGAAATACTGTACTGTACAATGAATAAAATTACTAAGAATAAAAATACCAAGAGGCTCATGGACACACCGGGTGGTTCAGAACTATTATTGAAGTATTATGTCTTACGTATTTATCTTCCAATAAAATGCAAAATTGTGTACAGATTTTATGTAAAAGTGGCAGAGAACACATTTTTCAATATCTATGGATTCTTTTTTAAAAGGGGGCATGTCCCACTCCCCTAATGTAGAGGATACATTTATCCAACCCAAGTCTGCTATGCAATGGCAGTACACTATTGTGTAGCATTTAACAAACTCAAAATTGCTTAAATATTCTGTACAGATGAGAAAACACAACAGTGCCCTCTATAATGGGTTGTTTTGATCACACTACAATTATAAGCTCTGTATTGAACCCATAGTGATTTATTTTTAGTTTTTACACAAGTAAAAACTAAAAATAGATTACCTTGTTTTTCATTAACTATATTACCATATTTATTACATATATTTTGTTTTAAAAAATGTAACTAAAAAGTGTGTGATATTCTATAGCCTTTTATAGTCGTATCTTATTAATTTTAAGGAATGCAATTGAAATTTATTTCCACAACTACATTTTCAAAATACAGACGGATCCAGAAATTTGAAATAGAGTGAGCCAGGGAGGGACCTTTACAGATGGAGTGTAGACCACCTGAGCCCCACTATGTTGGGGCTGATGTAAGAAAATTTATGATTATGGCACCTAGTTGGCCAGAAATAGCACTCTCAGGCTCCACTTTTAAATTTTGAAAAAATTAGGGAGCGAGGATGGGCCAGTTGTTCCCCCCCCCCCTTTGCAATTTGCCACTGAAATACTCATCATAACATTTTTTCAATTAATCTTTGTAATCAACCATGCCTGCTAATACATATTTCATGCAAACTGACATTCATAAAAAGAATGATTGTGACTGATTAGCTTGTGACCTATATAAGCCATGAAAAACAAATGATAAACCATGTTCCTTCATGGATAAACTTAAAAGAGTCACTATATTTTTATAGTCTCTTTGCATGTACAGTATTTTGAAATCAATCAAGAGGTTTTCCATTTCTCCTGTTTTTGAATTTCACTTTTGTGCAAGTAGTGTTTCGACTACACTACCTTCTAACTTATGATCAAACAGGACTAAGGAGATAGGAAGCACACAAAACATTGGTTATCATTTTTATTTCACAAACATAAAAGGTGATTTACTTAATTTATCATTATCATGATGTCATGGCGAGATTGCGTTAAGTAACATCAGAGTTCTTAAACTTGTGGTAAATAGACTGACCTATACAAGACTGTATGATTATTGTTTAATAACGGCTATATAAAATTCAATTGACTAACTATAATTATTTAAAATTAAGAAAAACAGGATTCTATGTATGCAGATAATATTTGAACACTAGTATATCAGTCATAATATACAAAAGGAATAAAACATTTATATAGTGCACCCTCTAATTTGAGACCCCTCTATTTCTGAGAAGATTGATAAAAAGTGGGGAGGGGGAAGACAATTAATATGTCCCCCTACTGTACTTTGTAAAGTGGGATTACGTGTCCTCCTGTCCCCACTGATCGACACCCATGGTGTCTGTGAATGGCTGGCTGTTTTAAATGCAAAAACTCACCGATCAATACTGAATAGAGTAATTTGATCATGTGCTAGTGTTGGTGTAGGCTACTGATTATGGGCCCGTTTCTGCTGAGCAAAAAAACATGTGTTTTTAAACGGTTATTAAAAAACACATGTTTTTCCCCCAGTAGAAACGGGCCACAAAACAAAAACACGGTTAGGAATGCGTTCTAAAAATGCATGTTTTTACACGCATTCGTTATAGGGTTCGCGTTCAGAAAACACATGTTTTGTGGTACACTTTTCAGCTGCAACGCAATACCGTGTTAGTCATGACCTGTCGGTGACCCAAGTTGACCTATTAGTTGGTTTGATCGCTCGTCGGCGGGAAATTCAGGCGAAGAAACAAATTAAAATAATAGGATGACATTCCTAAATATCATACCATACTTTTTTTATATTTTCGTGGTGTGTTTGTTTACTTTTTTCGCAGAATGGCCTGTAGCTCACAAGAAGTAAGGTCAGCTTCAACTTCCGTTGGTGACCATCATTTAAGCTCCGTCCACCTGCCAGTGCTCGCATTACCGTGTTTTTATTAGTTGCACTTTTCACTAGAAACGTGTTCAGAACTAATTTAACCGTTTATAAAAAAACACGTGTGTTTTTGGCGTTATTCAGCAGAAACACACCCTATGAGTTTATTAATAGATCCATGCTATGAGGCTAAAGTTTATTGTAGCTTCCTTGATGTACTGTATGTAGTGTGTCTCGGGGTGCCAAGCTGACAGCTTAAGAAAGCTATTGTTAGAGCAATGTGTTATTTTTGCCTGTCTCAATGAATCTTCTAATGCATTATTTTTTTATAGAGTGCTACAGTGTTACGTCACGATACCACGTGATACTACTCTGTTGCTATTGGCAACACAAAATGAGTTCAACTGAACGCCATTTTTCCCACTGACAAACCATTGATCCCAATTTCTAACGTATTCATTAAGATGTTGTATCTCAGTTTTTCTTTGTAAATTTTAATTGTTGATTAAATGTGTGTTCGATAACTTATATAATGCAAGCTTTTGTGTTTTTAGTACATTTTGATGGTAAATTACTAGGTTTTAAAATGCCTATTTTTAGAAAGCCTATTTTAAACCATTAAGATTATGAAGACATTCAGGTGTAATGAATGGTAATCAACGTCTGGTTGACAACAAAGGGCGCCACCTGGTGTTGTGACGACACAACTGTTGTACTCTATATTTCTCTGTTCAGCCAAAATATGGCCAAATTTGACATAATTTTGTATCACATACAGTATTAATCATCAATGAATAAATAGTTTAATTACCATTACTTTTAAAAATGTTTACATGTCATATAAACATATAATGTTCATAATATACCATCATAAATGTAAATTAGTATTTTTTTAAATAATGGTATAATGAATACTTATGTTCAATACGTATCTTGTTACATTTGTGTTTAGAATGTAAATGAATTATGCACTGGTAAGCCATCAATTGCAAATTGAATTCAGAATGTTACAATAATTATTCTAGCCTAAAGGTAAATTTGATCCCCTCTTTAGATTTCCACATTATGTTACACTGCTAACAATCAGCTACAAAAACCCAAGTTGTATAGGCCTACTAATATTATGATGTATAATAAAGCTTCTAATATCTGCAGTTCAGTCAACCTGTAAATCACTAAGCTTATTAAATTAATTATTTAATCAATTGGATATTTATAGATACAGAATAATTTCTTTAATATAAAATTCTGTTAGGAAGTCAAATTATGTATACTTTGAATTCATGTTTGTACAGAATATACAGCAACAGATGTACTTTCTCAGTTATTATGTGTATTCGTGTTTCCTTTTTCATGTGCATTAATTTTGTCCACCATTTAAACAGATTAAATTTTCTATAATTGCATTATTGGCTTCGCCTATGACTGCAGGAATGCTATAGTTTATGGTCCGTTTTTTTCCTCTTCCATTGCATTTTCCTATGTTTTTGCATAGGGTTTAATGTCCACTTTGGCCATTTTTAATAATGGTAATAAATACGTATGTGCTTTCTCAGTGATTATGGTATGTTTTCTTTTTCATGTGCATTCATTTTGTCCACCATTTAAACAGATTAAATTTTCCATAATTGCATTATTATTGGCTTCTCGTATGACAGCTGGAATGCTATATTTTGTGGTCAATCGTTTTTTTCTTTGCATTTTCCTATGTTTTTACAAAGGGTTTAATGCCCACTTTAGCTATTTTCCTTGTTTGAATCACCTCCAAACATAGTCCAAACTTTTTTTTACCAACAATTGGATATAAATGCTTTGCCAAACATTTGCCAGAGCAGTAGGAAAAAAGGGTCAATAGTTAGACCCATTTTTTTCTCTTTTTAAAATAACAATTTAAAATAATTTGATACTGTGCTTTTGTTTATGGATGATAGGGAATTTTTGTAATTAATATTAAGCTTTTTAATTTCTTCATTTTTATGAGAGGATAAATTAATATTTTATCTTGTACACAAGAATTGAAAAAAAAACCATTCCTATGATTTGTTTGGTATTGTTTATGTGTTTTATATCTACCATTGCTTCAGAAACCAGAACTGCTTTTTGTTGAAATTGGCATGTTACTGCACAGTTACAGTACATAATTTAGTTTTAAACAATGTCAAAAGTGCTTATTCTCTGTAGAGATGAGAAAATGCAACAGTCCCCTCTATATTAAATTGTCAGCCAAAATACATTTATTTAGCCAAAGTGATGCTTGCACCATAGATTTCTTTTTATTATTATTGTTTTTGGTTGTGTTTATATATTTATTTATTTATTTATTATTTGTTTGTTTATTTGTACATTTATGTATTTTATTTATTTATTTATGTTTTCAAAACTGGTACAGTTACAAAACTAACCATCAAATTAGAAAGGACATAATACACAAAACAAAGTAAAACAAAATCAATGTAAAACCTATAAATTAATATAATTTTCGAATGGAACTAATGACACATATTAATAATAAATAGTTGTATAATTGTGTTTAACATTGTTAAATGCATCATGACTTATAAAGTCAATTTTTTAAAGTGAAATGTTTATTGTTACAGTTGGAAATGTTTGTCAAATTTTGGATGGATTTGGACATTACAGACAAAACTGCTCATTTTTGTATTCACATCTTTATATTCATCACTTCAAATTGTTCATAGAATAGAAGTTACTTTATTCAACAATGGCATTTTGTCAAAAAATTTTTTAGATAATTATATTTAGAATTTATAAACCTCAATTTGTACCAAAATTATATATAAAAATAAAATTCAATGTTGATCGATACAATTACTGAAAAAAAGCATATGCGGTTGAAGTTTAAAAGAGTGAACATACCAAATTTTCACATATTTTTTAAATATTTAAAATTCTACGTTTTTCAAACAACCATCTCAGCGGTATTTTTTATGCTGATCATACCATAAAAATGTATTGTCTTTCTCAATATGTATACAACAATTAATATTACAGGTCTTCCTCTAATTATAGACCCTTCAAATTAAGGACCACCTCTAATTAAAAAGACCATTTTCTGTAGTCCCAAATTAACAAAAATGTCTTTTCTTTATTATTTTAATTAGAGATCAAAGCTGCTAAAGACATTGGAAACTCTAGTCCCAGAAGTTTAATTTGAGGGAGATTTGTATCAAAAGAAACAAACTTGTGTAATAAATTCATGCAGTTAGAATGTAATGTAATGTGGTTGGATTTATATAGTACTTTATACCTGAAAGTGTGGACTAGCCGCACAGTAACTTTCTTCTCCCAAGGGTCTCTTCATGTCTGAGCTACCCAGTAAACCTGTACCAGCTATCTCTCGTCTGTCCACAACAGGGGCTGTATGGACCAGTACACTGGGGTAATCCCCTACTCCTCTCAAAAGATGTACTAGTTCTTTAAAGTGCACATGAGCCAATACACTGGGCCTACATTTTATAGTCTTTACCGAGAAGACTTGTTCCACCCCTAGAACCATAGGAGAACATGTCGTTGGAACCAGCGCCAATATTATGGCTGTAGGTTGCTGCGCCCCTGCCTTAACCGCTCGAACATCCAACTCACCGCAGGGCATTAAAAGATAGAGAATTAGTTATTTGATACTTGTGTTTGTTGATTACATTTGAGATAAAAATGTAAATAGATTACTTGGTAATCTTTTAATCACTAGTAAATTTTGAATGTTTGCACATACTACATTAAAGCTAATTATAAAGATTAGATTCCAAATAGGCCAAATAAAATAAATTGTTTGTTTGCCCTTCTTTATTTAAAAATGATAAATAGGGTCAGGTGGAAATGTTTTTTTTTAAATTTATTAATTTTTTTAAATACCCATCAGATGGAATAAAAATAACCCACAGAGGCCTACTGTAGAATGGCAATATCTTATATTAGACAGCAACTGTAGACTAATTTGTAGGGCATCTGGCAAAAAATAAAGATAAATTAACTCACATTTTTTTTTATTTGTAAAGATAAAAGCTAAAAAAAACCCAACCCAAGTTTTTTGTTTTTCCGCCCTTATTTTTTTCTGTGAGTAAGGGGCGGGTGGAGGAGGGCAAACAAACAATTTGTTTTGGCCTTGTAAGCTGTTAAAGCCCATAGAGCAATTGGTATTAAACCTTTATAGTATTATTCTGCAAGACCACTAAATACTAAATACATACCATACCAAATACATACTAAGTAAACAATCCTTATAATTCCATTATAATAATCTTTCTAATACAGTTTGTCGTACTAAATCAATTTTTGCCATCGGCCTTTTAACGGGGAATGAACTACCGGGCAATCTCCAGAACATAAAGGTTAAATTTGAAATAAATTTGAAAATGTATTTACACATCAGCTGGAAGCTCTGTCCAGATTATCACATTTTCTTTGACAAAAAAACTGTTGTATGCCCATATATAGTCATGATGTGCCTATATATGGTCATAATGTGATGTCTTCATGACCATATTTAGGCATGTCATTTTTTTTTGTCAAGTGAAATATGATAATCTGGACAGGGCTTTATATTATTATTATTATTATTTTATTTATTTTTTAAATTTTTTTTGCCTATGGTATTCTGAAATATACATTAAAAAAACTGTCCCTTGTATTATGTAATCTAGTCTGGCATTAGCTTAACACATACGGTACTTTTACCTTTTAAGCCTGTGCCTACAATATGTGATGCCAGTTGCTGTAATAGAATGTGTACATCATTGTTATGCAAGTGCAATGAATTGACATTATAATTACTTAGTTTATAATTTAGTTTACGAAAATAATAATAACTTTCAATTCTATATGTGGATTGATGTTCTCTTTTTTCTGAGCTTGGCTTTTGTCCACTGTGATAGATTAAATCTTGCACTTGTATTATTATATTTCCTTTTTTTATTAGTATTCGATTTAATTTATATAATGATGCACAAAATAAATAATAGCGAAAAGTAGACAGTGCAGTGTTTTATTATGAATACAGCATGACTAGAATTGTCAAGTTCGCTTGGAGACAATCCAAGCCAAACACACTCTTTGATGTTTGTTAGTCACAAAAAACACTAAATTTTCACTTCTGCTTCTTTACCGTAGTTTCTAACTATGAAGTGTGAGCGACTACCCATAAACGAAATCAATTTTAAACATAGAGTGAAATATACTTGGAAGAAGAAGAATGTGCAAGCCAATATGACGATTTACCTGAAAACTGGCAAGAAATTAATCTACATAATGGAAATATACATTTTGAAAGATCGTTCAGCTTGACATAAATGCATACACCAGCAATAGAAGCAAAATTCAAAACAATCGATCAGGAATTGTTCATTATTTTTTTGGAAGAAATCTATGAATTTTCATTTGAATACACTGCTTTCATAGCATTTGTTTTGTTCAGCATAAAAAGTACATCAGGAATTTGGTTTTTGTACACTACGAATCCTCAATAGAACATATAAACAAAAGGAAAGACGGGTTCAGAGAAATATATGAATAATTTTTAGTTCCTATGCATGTAATGCAGGAACTATTGTATTCACTTTTTTGCGTGTGTGTGTGTGTGTAGACATTTATGCAAATGCGCATGCGTCAAGAAAAAGTTTTCCAACATTTTGTTTTTCATCGTGACGCGAAGTTTCTTGAGTGTGTCAGTCTGGGCCCACGCTAACCGATTGCCAAGTCGCCATTGGCGAAACTATTTTGGATTGGCATTAAAAACCAACTGCTTTAGGCATTTTGGCGAAGGCCTAAAATATAAAGAAAGTTTTAAATACTTGCTAAAATATTTCATTTTTTTCATATCGTTTATTTCGTCAAACAGAAAACAAAACATACAGAAATAACAATACCAAAAATCAGAGACAGGATAAACAAAAAGCAAACTAAATTGCTGTATAAAGTTTTCTCCACTGATTTAAGGATACATAAAATATATAAATAAATCTCTGATCTCTGGAAGTAAAAACGATTAAAAACAAGGCACAGCGCAGCGCGGTGCAGAACATTGTTTTTCATTTGATCTCCATTTTTCGCCAATTTGCATGAGTAGTCTTGCTGCAAATGTTATTTTGTGCCTCACTGGTTATTTTTCATTTGTAATTGTTTTAATGTGGTGGATGCA